ATTCTTCCCTATATGACTTTGGTGCCTTTCAAGCTGCCTCCCCTTCATGGTGGAGCTCAGAAGGAGTGGGTCCGAGTAAGTCTGTGTGCGGGCTCTTTAAGAGGAACTGCCTGGGATTCCAGCAGCCTCAGCCTCCCTCAGCCTCAGTTCCCACTGGATTTTACAGCCAGACGTTATGGGGACTTCTCTTCCTGGCACTGGAACCCCGAACTGGGGGGCCTGGTGTGGGGTGGGAACCCCTCACTCCTCAGGGAGGACCTTCACAGCGGAGGTATCTTTTCGGATCCACCACACGTGCGTGTGGGACCAGCCCGACCACGCCTCCGCCTCTCTTACCAGTCTCCATGTGGCTGCTTCTTTCATTTCATGGTTGTAGGACTTCCAGTCAGCTTGGTGTCAGGCGGTTCTGAATGATGGTTTTTCTGTAGTTTAGTTGTAATTTTAATGTGGTTGTGGGAGGAGGTGATAACGTGTTTCCCTATGCTACCATCTTGACCAGAAGTCATCATTAGTATTTTGATAGGAATTACATTGAATCTATAGATTCATTGGGTAGTATGGACATTGTAATGATGTTAATTCTTCCCATCCGTGAGCACAGTGTATGCTTCTGTTTATTTGTATTCTTCAATATCTTATCATTTTTTGAGTACAGGTCTTTTACCTCCTTGGTTAAATTTATTCTTAGGTATTTTTTTGATGCAATAATAAATGAGATTGTTTTCTCAGTTTCCCTTTCTGATAGTTCATTATTGGTGTATTAAAATGCAACCAATGTCTGAGTATTTATTTTGTATCCTGTTCCTTTACCAAATTCATTTATCCATTCTGGTAGTTTGTTTGTTTGTTTGTTTGTTTATTTATTTTTCTTTATTGATTTGAGAGAGAGAGGAAGGGAGAGGGAGAGAGAGATAGAAACATCGATGAGAGAGAACATCGATTGGCCGCTTTCTGCATGTCCCCCACTGGGGGTGAGCCCACAACCTGGGCATGTGTCCTGACCGGGAATCAAACTGGTGACCTCTTCATGCATGGGTCGATGCCCAACCACTGAGCCACACCAGCCGGGCAGTCTGATAGTTTTTTTTGGTTGAATCTTTAGCATTCTTTATATACAATATCATGTCATCTGCAAATAATGACAATTTTACTTCTTTTTTTCCAACTTGGATGCCTTTTTCTTTTCCCTCTTGTCTGATTGCTGTGGCTAGGACTTCCAGTACTATGTTGAATAAGAGTAGTGAGGGTGGACATTCCTGTCTGGTTCCTGAGCCTAAGGGAAACACTTGTAGTTTTTGACCATTGAGTGTGATGTTGACTGTGTGTTTTTTATATATGGCCTTTATTACATTAAGGTATGTTCCCTCTATTCCCACTTTGCAGAGAGTTTTTATCATAAGTGGGTGCTGGATTTTATCAAATGCTTTTCCTGCATCTGTTGATATGATCATGTGATTTTTATCCTTCATTTTTTTATGTGGTGTATCATGTTGATTTGCAGATATTGTACCAACTTTGCATCCCCGAAATAAATCTCACGTGATCATGGTGCATGATATTTTTAATGTATTGCTGGATCTGATTTGCTAATATTTTGTTGAGAATTTTTGCATCTATGTTCATCAGGGATGTTGGCCTATAATTTTCTTTCCTGGTAGTGTCTTTATCTGGTTTTGGAATTAGGATAATGCTGGCACCTGTGCAGGCTTGTATTTCTGGGAGTGAGGCTGAGAAAGACAGGTTTATGAGGAGTTATTCAGGAGTTATATGGAGACAGGCAGCCCCGTCTTAGTACTGGCACAAACCCAGACATAGAAGAGGCAGAGATCAACAGAAAAGCCAGGAAATATATAGAGATTAAAACAGAGTCATTAGAAAAAATACATAAAGATGGGGCTGAGAATGTCAGACACTTAAGGATCATAGGCCCAGGGAGTTCTGGGTTTTCCTGGCATCTGCTGGTCCCAGTGAGCATGTTCCCCGCAGGGCATGTTCTGAGCACCAGTGGCCACACAGCACCCTCTCTTGGAGGGCACAGGCCTGGCAGGTACAGAGCAGCCCTCCCACCCTCGTCTGCATGGGAACCATTTTCTGAGTCTGAGGTTTGGAGGCAGGTCTGACCTTCCACCACCATGATGTTTCCCACTGGCCTATGACCCCCTGGCCTCCTCCCCTGGGTGTCAGGGAGGCCTAGTTCTCCCCGAAGTCTGCCTGACTTGGTCCTAGTGCTGTGCCATCGGCACAGGGCCAGCCTGGGAAGGAGGGAATGTGAGGCACACACGCAGGCCCTCATGTACAGCTGCGCAGGCTCACGGGGGAGCCCACCTCATCTAAGATGAGCACACCTCAGCCACAGCAGCCGGCACAGGAGGTGCATTTGCATTTCTCCTTGTCCAGCAGAGGGCAGTCAAGTGTCTCATTCCAACAAAACCTGGCTATTATGCCAGTTTGCCAACAGATGTCAGTAAGGTGTTTGGAGGAAGTGGTGTCTTCTGCTAATTGGCACAAGGGCACTGTATGGATTTGGAGGGGCCCCAACCAGCCCGACTTGGGGGTGGTTGAGACTGGGCACTCAGGAAAGTGTCCTCTAGAAACCTGCATCCTGTCTCTGCAGAGGTAGGTGGTCCTGAACCCCCAGGTCAGGAGCTGCCCCACTTCTGTTAAAAGCATCATATTTCTTTCTACCTCTGGACTCCAAACCTTAGATTTCTCCCTTCTTTTCCCTATCCCCTCTCCCTCACCCAATTAGTCGTGGAGTCTTGCCAGATTTCCTGATATTGTCCCCCAGGTAGAAACCCTCTCCAGGTGCAGGCAGGCCCTGGCAGGCCTCCACCATTTACAGTATCACTTCCCAACTGGCCCTTCATCCCTTGCACACAACTGCAGGAGTGACTTCCCAAACACCTCTTTCCACACCAGCTTCTCCATTTATAAACCCTCCGAACCTCCCCGTTGCCAAGAGTGTTGAGTCCCAATCACGTCAGGCCATTACAGAGGGGGCAGGAGGGTTCTGTGGGCCCGAAGGGTAGACTAGGCCTAGCGTGTGGAAGGGTGTTCCGAGTCCGTGCCCTCTGGGGTGCGGTGGGCGGGGGGACAGCAGAGGGGCTCAGGTGTCAGATGGATGCAGTGACGACCACGTTCCCCCACGGCGGGGGCTTAGCTAAGTCTATGGCTTAGCTCCCCTTTGTGACTCCCCACACTACTAGGGCAGGTCTGCGCTTACAGGACCCTGGGGTCGGGTGGAAACAGATGTTCTTCCATTTCACCCTTGGGGACCAAGACCCCGAGTTTGAGTCCTCGTTCTGCCATTTACGTGCTCTGTGAGCTCTGGCAGGTGTCTTGCCCTCCCGGAGTCTCCATTCTTCATCTTCTAAATGAGGGTGATAATATCTGCCTCCCAAGATTGCTCTGAAGATTTTCTTTAACTTTTTATTATGAACATTTTAAACCGAGACTATAGAACCCCTGTATAGAACACCTGGCTTCAGCAACTGCAACTCAAGGCGTCTTGTTTCCTCAGCATTTCTCCTCTTTTTTTTCTCTGAGATTCTTTTTTTTTCTTAATTTTTTGTTTCTTTGTTGATTTTAGACAGAGAGGAAGGGAGAGAGAGATAGAAACATCGATGAGAGAGAACATCGATTGGCCGCCTCCTGTACCCCACTGGGGATCAGGCCCACAACCTGGGCGTGTGTCCTGACTGGGAATCGAACCGGCGACCTCTTAGGTCAACGCTCAACCACTAAGCCACACCAGCTGGGCGCGCATTTCTCCTCTTAATACCCCTTTTTCACTAGATTATTTAAAAGCAAATCATATATGGTTTCACCTGTAAATAATTCAGTGTCTCTGTTAGAGCGAATAACTTTTTTTTTTTTGCCCTAAAAGATAACAACAGTATCATTATCACATCGACAAATTGAAAACGATAATTTAGCCTGGCCAGTGTGGCTCACTAGTTGAGCATCGACCCATGCACCAAGAGGTTGCTGGTTCGATTTCCGGCCAGGGCACAGGAAAAAAAAAAAGAAGGAAAATTATTTAGTAACATTAAGATCCTTCGGTTTTCCTTGACTGTCTCATAAATGTCTTCTCGCAGCTGATCTGTGTGAATCCCTTGTGATAGGCTTCTTACATTCCTTTTAATCATTGCACTTCCTTCCCTCCCACTTTTTTTTCCCATTTATTTATTGAAAAAAATCAGTTCGTTTCTCTGGTAGAATCTCTCATAGTCCGGACTTTGCTGCTGCACCCTATGGTGCAGTCTCGCACATTTCCTGGAAACAGAGAGATAACCCAGAGACCTGGCCAAATCCAGCTACGCAGGGAGCCTGCTGCTGGAAGAGACACTGCCCTCGGGGGGCACATAATGGCTGTTAAGTGTTAGGATTGATCAGTGGGTTCAGCAGCGGTGCGAGTGAATGAGAACATGTATGGAGGGCCCTGAACTCAGCGGCCGCCACGTGGTACGCTCTCTCCGACTGGCAGCTTTCCGAGTGGCCCTGGGACCCTGTGGCATTCTGGGCAAGAGGATGGTGAGAGACGAGAAGGAATTGATCGCCCAATTGATGGATCTGTTTGGGGGTGGATCTTTATGATCCATGAACAGAGTAACCAGTTCCTTCATTCACAGGGTAGAGGGTCCTTTTCTAGGCCCCAGATCTGTTCTTGCAAAGGCTGTGTCCCCAGGCCCATGTTGTGACCCAGTTTTCATTTCTGGTGAATCATTTGTCAGGAACTGTCACCCCTACCTCACATTGTGCCAACTTAGCTGCTGCTAAAATTCCGGGGGCCATAAGCACCACTTGGGTAGGGTGAGGTCAGCGCAGGTGCGTTTGCCTGGCTCCCTGGGATTAAGGAAGTGATGGGCAAAGCCTCCATGCCTGTCCCTGGTCCCTGGAGTTTGAATTGTCCCTTGGGCACACTCCATCTCCCTCCACCCCACAGTGCCTGGGAGGGGGGGGGGACAAGTCTGAACGGCCTCCCTCCTGTTCCTGAGCAGGTGCGGGAGCTGACTGACGCCGAGTTCCCACACGCCTTCCTGGTGTCCGGGAAGCAGCGCACCCTGGAGCTGCAAGCCCGGTAGGTGGCAGGCTGGGGGTGGGGAGGCAGAAAAACTGGGAGGGGCCAATCTCCACAACACCAGTGTTCACTTTCCGAGCAGGTCCCAGGAGGAAATGATTTCCTGGATGCAGGTATCAGACCAATCCAGGGCTCCTATGATTCCGACCCACCGCCCAGGTTGAGGGGGCGGGAGGGGTGCATGCATGAATGGTGGGGGGGTGGGGGGAGGAGGTACACCTGCCCAGCTGCTCCCTGCTCTTCCTCAGGAATTGATCTTTGGCAGTTTGGAGTCAGAACTGAGTTCACACTTACTGCCACTCACCGTCTAGCTGGTGGCCTGGGACAAATCACTTATTCCTGAGCCTCAGTTTTCACATCTGTTATCTGGGGGTGCTGGTTTCTCTCCCTTAGGTTAGCCAAAGGGTGCTTAGAATCCAGCACCTGGCCCCCAGCGGCTCTCAGCAGTGTCTGTTGAATGTGTGGAGGGATGGGCAGATGAACAAGCTCCCTGCCACCCCTTTAACCACCTCCCTGTGCCCCTCCCCAGGCCTGCCAAGCCGCCATCGACCTCATTGAGAAGCGGAATGAAACCTTCAAGGCTGCAGTCCAGGGCTCTGAGGGAGCCGCCCAGGAGCAGGAGGTAAATGAAGACTTTGTGGTCCCCCCTGGAGCCACCAGCCTCACACAGGGCTCATCCCTCTCTGCTCCACCCGGCCAGCTCACGGGGCAGATCACCCCCAGGAGTGATTTGAAGGGACCAGGGAAGCCCACCCACCCCAACATCACCCTACTTGGAGACTCAGTGCCAAGTTTCCCCATGAGCACACAATTCCTGGGGGAGCCTGTGCTGGGAGGCCTCCAGCGACAGCCCTGGCCAGGGGGTGTTGCAGGATCGGGCTGGAAAGTGCCCGAGGGATGTCAGACCTGGGGAAGGTGGAGGCAGGAGGGCTGGGGTCAGGGAGAGCGGCCAGGACTGGATTTCACATCTGAGCTGTGAACTCTGGCCGGTGTCTCGGTGTCTCGGCTGAGTCACTAGACCTCTCCGGGCCCCAGTGGCACCCCGTGAAATGGGACCGACAGCAGCTGACCCATCATTCAGATACATGGGAGGCCCTGGGAAGCGCCCCACAGTCCCCGCCGCAGGCAGCTGGGCAGGGGCCCCAGGGCTCAGGGAGTGGGCAAAGAGGGTCATGAAGTGCCCACCCTGCTGCCCCTCAGCTGCAGTCGGAGGAGCTGGGCCTGCGGGCGCCACAGTGGGTCCGGGACAAGATGGTGACCATGTGCATGCGCTGCCGGGAGCCCTTCAACGCCCTGACGCGGCGCCGCCACCACTGCAGGGCCTGCGGCTACGTGAGTACCGCCTGCACCCCGCCAGCACCCTGCCAGCACTCCGCCAGCTCTCCCGCTTCCACCAGTGCAGCCCGGGAGCAGGCCCTGCACATCCCCACTCTGCAGACGCGGAGCTGAGGCTGGGAGGCTAAACAGTGCTCAGGACTCTCACCTGCTTTCTTACCACCGTTTCCCCGGCACCAGGAAACGGTCCCCAGTTTCAGGGTGAGGGGCATGCAAAGCCCTCAGCCCTTCTCCGGCCTTGTCCCCACCACCTCATCAGCCCCCTGCCTGTCACAGGCCCCCTTGTCCTTCCTTCATGACTGGCCTCGCTAACTGTCCTCTCCTCTTCTCAAGTCCTCAGCACTCCAGCATCTGACGGTTCTGTTGCTAAGTCTGCCCGCCAAGTTCGGGCCTCAGTTTCCTCACCTGTGCAATGGGGACGGGAATACCTACCCCCAGGGTGGTAGTGAGGACTCAACAAAGGAGGTGCACCCTTCCCTCTCCTCCTCCTTCCCTTCCCTCCTGCAGGGCTCAGGCCCTGCTCCTCAGAGGAGCGAGTCACAGCTGACTGAGAAAGGGACCTGTCCACCCCAGGCAGATCTCGCTGGCTTTGTCAGCACCTGAGCTTTCTCTGCTGCTATCACAGCCCCTCCATTATCTCTGCACACAGAGAAGCCCTTTACAACCTTAGTCTTGAATGACCTCTGGCGGACAGGAGACCAGCTGGGCAGGGTGGGGCAGGGAGTTGTCCCCAAATTGTGTTAAAATGCAATCAGAACACAAAGTAAATATCTAGGGCTGGGGACACACCTATGTTGAGATTTAAGTGACGAATTACATCCCGGATCTGGGGATTAGCTACTGTTCTTGGTGGTTGGGTCCATTCACTTGTGACTTAGTAAGTAGTTCCTGAAACAATATTTAAAACAGTTAAGGAATACAAAAAGGCACAAAGAATAATGTAACATCTGGAAAGCAGGTACATGGAAGACATAAAATATTCTGACACTAAATGAAATGTATGACCCCTGATTGGATCCTGGATCGGAAAACAAGAGAGCAGCTCCAGAGGTCGTTACTGGGACCACTGGGGGAAATCGGATCACACATTGTGTATAAATAGTACTATTGTATCGATGTTAAATTTCCTGAGTGTGATCATGACATTGCGTGTAGGCAGGAGAGTATGCTTGTTCCTAGGAGATACCAGCTGTATATTTAAGGGTGTGATATCATGATAACTATAATTTATACTCAGACGGTTCCAAAAAAATAAAATACACAGATACAGAGAGAGCTAAAGCCACTGTGGCAAAAATGTTAAAACCAGGGAATTGAGTGGTGGTGGAGTCTCACTGTATTATTCTTTCAGTCTGTAGGTTTGAAATTTTTCAAAATAAAACATTGGTGGAGGAAAAAAGAAATAGACACTAATAATGTTTAAAAATTAAATCTCAATACAAAATAAAATAAAATACTCCCACGGTAGTTGAAGCCCCCGGTGTGAGGGTGAGGTGCCGGCCCGTTGGGGCGTTCTCGGCCTGCGCATACCTTTGTGTCCTGTGAGTCATCCTTTCGGTGGTTTGGTGCCCAGTTTCTGTTTCCCGCCTGCCAGCCGGGGATCCTGGCGGGGTGGGGCAGGCCCAGCCTGTCCTGTGGGGCCCTCCTGGTCACGCGGTGCGGGGCACACCCGGAGCACTGGTCCACAGCACCCCCCCATCACTTGCCCTCATTTCCAAGCCCACATCCTGGACTCACGGCAACACCCCAGCCTTCCTGGAAGCCACGTCCTGCAGCGCCCAGGGTTCCTTTCCGGGTCTGGTCCTGCCGCTCTCACCCAGGCCCCCCCCCCCCCCCCGCCCGATCCCCCTCGGCCTCCTGGGGGCCTCTCTGCGGTGGGCTGGGTGGGCCCACTCCCCAGGGTACCCGTGGCAGGTTTTCCTGGCAAAACAACCAGCCCATCGTTTTTGTAGTAGAATGCGCAGACTCTAGGGTTGAACAGAATGTAGAATTCACATGAATCTTTTTTTTTTTTATCCTTACCTGAGGAAATTGTTGTGTTTATCTTCAGATGGGGGGGGGGAGAAACATCAATGTGAGAGGGACACATCAGTGGTTGCCACCCACACGACCCCAAGTGGGGCCGAGGACACGTAACCGAGGTACGTGCCCTTAGTGGAACCGAACCCAGAACTCTCTAGTCCGCGGGCCGACGCTCTAATGGCTGAGCCAAACCGTCCAGGGGTTTGCATGAATCTTAAAGCTAAACTGGGAACTTGAAAGACATGTTCTGTTGGTGGAGGGCCAGCTGCTGCCAGTGAGCCCTGCAGCCCTTGGCGAGTGGCTGCCCCTCTGGCTGCCCTGCGCTCCAGGGAGGCGAGGATAAAGGCTCCAGAGTCCGGCTGCTGGGGGCTGCTGGGGGCTTCTGGGGGCTGTTGGGGGACTGCTGGGAGCTGCTGGGGGGCTGCTGGGGGACTGCTCGTGGGCTGCTGGTGGGCTGCTGGGGGGCTGCTGGGGGACTGTTCGTGGGCTGCTGGTGGGCTGTTGGGGGCTGCTGGGGGGCTGCTGGGGGCTGCTGGGGGACTGCTCGTGGGCTGCTGGGGGCTGCTGGGGGACTGCTGGGGGGCTGCTGGTGGGCTGCTGGGGGACTGCTCGTGGGCTGCTGGGGGACTGCTCGTGGGCTGCTGGTGGGCTGCTGGGGGCTGCTGGGGGACTGCTCGTGGGCTGCTGGGGGCTGCTGGGGGACTGCTCGTGGGCTGCTGGTGGGCTGTTGGGGGCTGCTGGGGGACTGCTGGGGGGCTGCTGGTGGGCTGCTGGGGGACTGCTCGTGGGCTGCTGGGGGCTGCTGGGGGACTGCTGGGGGACTGCTCGTGGGCTGCTGGTGGGCTGTTGGGGGCTGCTGGGGGCTGCTGGGGGGCTGCTAGGGGGCTGCTGGGGGACTGCTCGTGGGCTGCTGGGGGCTGCTGGGGGACTGCTCGTGGGCTGCTGGTGGGCTGTTGGGGGCTGCTGGGGGCTGCTGGGGGGCTGCTGGTGGGCTGCTGGGGGACTGCTCGTGGGCTGCTGGGGGCTGCTGGGGGACTGCTGGGGGGCTGCTGGGGGACTGCTCGTGGGCTGCTGGTGGGCTGCTGGGGGCTTCTGGGGGGCTGCTAGGGGACTGCTGGGGGCTGCTGGGAGTCAGGCGAGATGGTAGAGGGGACAGGAGCACTGGGAGGAGTGACTCAGAAGCAAGGCCTGAGTGCAGCGCAGGCCCGGGGTTAACAGCTGCCTTCGCTAAAGGGGAATCCGAAGGGGAGAGAAGTCCAGGCACCTGCTGAGGCGGCCAGGTGTCTGTCCCCAGCTGGGGAAGCCCAGAGGTGAGCTGTCTTCCTGCATCTCGGCCTCCAGGCAGCTGGCTCTCCACAGGCCAGGGGAAACCCCTCCCCTGCTTCCTCCCTGGTTGCTCTCACCCCCCACCTCCCCAGCCAAGGTACAAGCATGGTCCCCCAACCTCACCTCACCTAATGCCCCATGCCCCTCCTGCCCCTCCTGCCTCAGGTGGTGTGTGCCAGGTGCTCCGACTACCGAGCTGAACTCAAATTTGACGACAACAGGCCCAACCGAGTCTGCTTCGACTGCTACACATTCCTCACCGGAAATGTGCTCCCTGAGGACAAGGAGGACAAGAGGCGGGGCATCCTGGAGGTGAGGCCACCGGTCCCCCATTCAGCCTGTGTACAAGGTGCCCGCCACATGCTGGCACTGTCCTAGGTGCTGAGGAAAATCGTGCCATGGCCACACTCTCCCTTCTCTCTGCCCCAGACACCCCGTGCGTCCCCTCCCCCCAAAAGCAACATTTAGCTCCAGGCTGTCGTCCAGGCCCTTCTACCTCCCCTCTGTGTGCCCCCTCAGTAATCTCACAGCCTTTCTGGACAGTCCCCGTTCACATCCCCTTCCCCTGCCCAGCAGTCCCAGGAGGTGAAGACAGCTGGTGTAACTGATTCCATTTTGCAGATGGGGAAACTGAGCCTGCGGGTCAGGGTCCCCACTGCTGGAAGGAGGCAGACTGGGAACTCCATTCTAACTGGAAGGGACGTCAGGGACCTATCCCGTGGAGACTCAGACCCAGAGAAGTGACTTGCCCCAGGTCACCCAGTGGGTTAGGAGCCAGCTCCCTGACCTTGCCACAGATGTCCTCTCTGCTGCCCTTGGGGCCCGGCTGGGCCACCCCCACCCCACAGGCACTCCAGGCTGCTCACTTGCTGCTGGTCAGTACCTATAAGTCACTAGCCGTGTTCAGCTTTGTGCTACAAATACAATGTAAGCCAACCCTTCACAGGTTACCACCGCCCTCTGCCCCTCCCTCATTAAAGGCCAGGTGGACACCCCCCTGTCCTGGGAGGTGGGGAGAAGACCCCAGCCTATTCCAGCTGCATACGGCTCCCGGGTTTCAAGTTGATCCCTTTCCATGGGCATCTACCTGCTTTCCAATCCTCCCCATTATTCTAGATCCAGCCCCAGCTCATGCCCTCGCTGACCATTAGGCACACAGCCTGCTTCTGGAGAGAGGGGCTGGGCAGCCCCTTCTCAGGCCCCAGCTGTGTCCCCTGGGAGAACTCTCAGGTGATAAGCCCTCCCAGCACCTGCCCCGGGCTCGGGCTGGCTGGGGTTTGACCGCAGCTCGGCCACTGGCAGCTGTGGCCACAGGCCCGTGACGGGACCTCTCAGTCTCGGGGACAAACAACGCTCTTGGCAGGGTTGCTGCAAGGATCAGAAATAGTGATGAGCCAGCTCCCAGCCACGGCCTGTCACGTAGCGGGGCTGCTCTCTGTTCCAGAAGGGGTCCGCGGCGGGGTCCGAGCAGAGCCTCGAGTGCAGCTTCCTGCAGCTCATCGGGGACAAGTGGGGCAAGAGCAGCAGCCGGGGCTGGTGTGTGATCCCCCGGGACGACCCCCTCGTGCTCTATGTCTACGCTGCCCCTCAGGTAATGCCTCCACTTGGCCCCCGGGCCTTGGCTTTCCCACAGCATGCCAAGGGTGTTGGGGAGGGTGAGTCTTGTTGGCCCCATATCTCAGATGTGGAAACTGAGGCCCAGTGAGGATAGTTCTCTGGAGTCACAGGATTAGTGGCTTTCAAAGCTGGGCCCAGACTCCAGGGCACAATTGCTTCGTCCTCAGGGAGCAGCAAATTCTCCTCCCCGTGATGTCCTCCCACCAGCCCCCTGCCTCATGGGTTTGTGGGGAGTGGCAGGCAGGTGTGTGGCTGTGGCCTTCAAATGACTGTGAGGCAGTGGGGCGGAACAGGACAGCAGCCACGCTCTCTCCTCCTTCCCAGGACGTGCGGGCTCACACCTCCATCCCCCTGCTGGGCTACCAGGTGACCCCGGGGCCCCCGGGGGACCCCCGGGTGTTCCAGCTTCAACAGTCAGGCCAGCTGTACACCTTCAAGGCCGAAACTGAGGAGCTGAGGGAGCGCTGGGTGAAGGCCATGGAGCGGGCGGCCAGCGGCTGGAGCCCCGGGGAACCCGAGGACGGGGACCTGTCGGACTGAGCCCCGCAGGCGCGCTCCCCTCAGAGCCTGGCTCTGCCACAGCTGTCCCGGGGCCTCTGGCCACCACCCCACACTGAGCTTGACACAGTCGATTCTAGCTTTCTACGCCCAGACTGTGTCCTCATTCAGTGACCGAGTGCCCCAGTGTGCCCAGGGGTGAGGGGTTCCTGGGACTGGGACTTTCAGTGGTAAAACCGGGAAAGTCCTAGGTCCCCCAGGACTGTTGATCACCAGTGTGGTTCTCACCCTGGGCTGCACATCAGGATCACCTGGGATCTTTAAAATATACCCGAAAAATATAAAAATAAACTAAAAATGTTTAAATACCAGTGCCTACTCCCGGCTGTGTGGCTCGTGTTTGGAGCATCAGCTGTACTGAAGGGTTGCAGATTCGGCACCTGATCAAGGACATGTACCTGGGCTGCAGGTTCAATTCCTGGCCCTGGTCAGAGTGCGCAAGGGAGGCAACCCATTGATGTGTCTCTCTCACATGAATGTTTCTTCTTCCTCCTTCTCCTCCTCCTCCTCCTCCTCCTCTCCCTTCTACTCTCTAAAAATCAATGGGAAAAATATCCTTGGGTGAGGGTTGATAAAAACAAACAAACAAACCAAAAAACAAACCAAAAAACCAATGCCTAGAGCCATCACCAAAGATTTCTGATTTAATTGGGCTGGGATGGGGGAGGCACAGGCATGTCTCAGGAGCCCCACATGAGTCTGATATGCAGCCTGGGTTACCCAGATGAAGAAGAAAGAGCAAACGACCACTGGCTGAGCACCTATCAAGTGCCAGGCACCATCATCATCATCATCATCATCATCATCATCATCAAAACAACCCAGCTGGTGTGACTGAGCATCTATCAAGTGCCAGGCATCATCATCATCATCATCACCATCACCATCACCATCATGATAAAAACAGCCCGGCTGGCGTGGCTCAGTGGTTGAGCATCGACCCATGCACCAAGAGGTTGCCAGTTCGATTCCCGGTCAGGGCACATACCCAGGTTGTGGGCCTGATCCTCAGTGAGGAGCACACAGGAGGCAGCCAATCGATGTTCTCTCTCATCGATGTTTCTATCTCTCTCTCCCTCTCCATTCCTCTATCTCTAAAAAAAAAAGAAAAGAAAAAAAAATCAATAAAGAAAAAAACATGTTTCTTTAATAAATAAAAAAATAAACAAACATGTACTGGGCCAGGCACTGTGCTAGGTGCCGGACATGGATTATTATCTCATTTTACCTCAGGAGTAATAACCCCATTTTCCAGATGGGGCACCGAGTCTTAGAGTGGTTTAATCATTGGCTCAAGGTCACACAGCTGGTGGATGCCAGGGCCAGGTTTTAACCTGATTCACTAAGGTCAGAACTCTGTCAGGTGCCAGAACAATAGGGCAAACAAAGTGGGGAGTCAAGTGGAAGAGGAAAAGGAGGGAAAGAGCCAAGTAAAAGGGGGAAGACGGGGGAAGAGGTGGGAGGAGGAGGGGAGGGCAGGCACCTCTCCTAGGCCCCCTGGCTGGTGGGTGAGGCTGCTTTCTCATAAGGAACCACCAGGGGGTGGCCGAGGTCAACAGGCCACATGCAGTGGCCCCAGCCTGGGCGCTGACACTCTAAGCCGCTTCTGTCAGGTCCAGACACTGCCAGGCTCTGCCCTAGAAAATGGCAAACAGACAAGTCATAGATCTTTGCCCACTTCCAGGCCCAGCTGTTTGCCTGCCCCCAACCTGAGGCTACCTCCCTCCTCTAGGGTGTTCTTAGAAGCCCAAGAAAACCTAATTGGCACAATCTCTGGGGACCAGGCTGGCCTTGAGTTCACCCCTTCATTCCACAAGTATTTGCCAAACATCTTTTTTTAATCCTTACCCAAGAATATTTTTCTATTGATATTTTAGATAGAGTGGGAGGGATGGAGGGAGAGAGGGAGGGAGAGAGAAACATTGATGAGAGAGACACATCGATCAGTTGCCTCCTGCACGACCCTGACCAGGGCTAGGGATCCGAGCCCACAACCAAGGTACAAGACCTTGACGGGAATGGTCCGAGGACCAATGCTCCAACCCTCCAACCGCTGAGCCAAACCGGCCAGGGCACACCAAGCATCTTCTATGAGCCAAATGCAGTTCCTGTGCTAGGGATACAGCAGTCAATGAGACAGACAAAAATGTCTGCCTTCGTGGAGTTTATATTCTAGTGGGGAGATAATCAATAAGATAAGTATATAAAATGTAGAGCATATCAAGGATGATAAGTGCTTACATATGGTGATGAACCATCCCGAACATTCCTAGTTTTACAACCAAAAGTCTCAATCCCAGGAAACCCTGCAGTTCCAGACAAACCTCCCGGCTGGTCACCCTAGTGGAAGAAGGGAAGCAAGAAGGCGAATGAGGGCGCGGGCCTGTGTGGCTTTGTTGGTGGGGTGTCTGTCCGGTGCACCGAAAGTTTGCTGTTCGATTCCCGGTCAGGGCTCCTGCCCAGGTTGTGGGCCTGATCCCCAGTGGGGGGCACGCAGGAGGCGGCCAATCGATGTTCTCTCTCATCGATGTTTCTATCTCTCTCTCCTTCTCACTTCCTCTCTCTCTAAAATCAATAAAGGGAAAAACAAATTTTTTTAAAAAATGGTTTCAGGTTTGATCCCCAGTGGGGGGCATGCAGGAGGCAGCTGATCCATGTCTCTCTCTCTCTCTCTCTCTCTCTCTCTCTCTCTTTCCCTTTTCTAAAATCACTAAAAACATTGTTTTAAAAGAAGACGACAAGAAGAAGCGGAGTGAGGGAGAATGATGTGTATATATGTATCTGTGTGTGTTTAAAAGAAAAATCAAGGAAGGCCTCACTGAGAAGTTGATGTTTGAACACAACCTCAAGGAAAGAAATAAGGGAGGGAGCTACACAGATACCTGGGGGAGGGCATTTCTGGTGGCAGAAACAGCCAGTGCAAAGGTCCTGGGGAGGAAGCCTGCCTGGTGCTTGCAAAAAACCGTGAGGCGGTGAGTGTGGATGGAGTAGACTAGGCAGGAAGGAGATCGTAGGATCGTAAACTAAGGTTAGGGGTCAGAGGAGGCAGATGGAGGTCTTCAGAGGGCTGAGTGAGGGAGTCATTGGAAGGATCTGATTCATTTTAACAAACCCTCCAGCTGCTTGTTGCAATAGACCAAAGGGGGTGAGGTGGAAGCACTTTATAGGATGTTGCAAAGATCCAGGAGAGAGGTGGGGTTGGAGCAGGGAAGGTGGTGAGAAGGGACCGCATTCTGGATTGATTTTGAAGGTAGAAGGAAGAGACTCCTTATGGGGTGAACGTGGACAGAGAGGAGGAGCCAGCAGTGACACGGGGCCTCTGACCTGAGAACATGGAGGACGGACCTGCCACCCACCAAGAGGAGAAGACTGTGGCGGGTCACGATGAGGAGGAGCTGGGGCGCCCTCATGGACATGCCAGCAGTGGGGTCCCTGAGCTCAGGGCAGGGATGTAGATGTGGGAGCTGTCATCCCAGAAATGGGGCTTCAAGGGGATATGAGACAGAAAGAAGAGATCCATGGACAGAGCCCTGTGCACCCCAATATTTTAACTGTGTACGTGCCAAAATTTTAACTATGCTCCCCCAACATTCTGGCTATGCTAACCCTGAATTCTAGCTGCATACTCCACAATATTTTAGCAACACTCACCCTGACATTCTAACAACACTCGCCCTGTAATGCTAACTACACACACCCCTACATTTATTCTACACGCACCCCTACAATCTAAATACACGCACTCATTTTAACTACACTAAACCTGACATTCTAGCTACTCATCCTGACATTCTAACTACACTCACCCTGACATTCTAATTACACACACCCCTACCTTCTAAATACACCCACCCCAACATTCTAACTACAGACACCCTGACATTCTAACTACACTCACCACTACATTCTCCTACACACACCCCTACTACACTCACCCCGACATTCTAACTACTCACCCTGACATTGTAACTATAACCTGACATTCTAACTACAACCCCTACATTCGAACTACAACCCCTACATTCGAACTACATTCACCCCTACATTCTAACTACACTCACCCCAACATTCTAACTACACTCATCCTGACATTCTAACCCTGCAGTTATAAATCTGAGAATTTACCCCGGGTGCAGGGGACAGACAGGCCAGTGTGACAAGATTCATCACTTGTTTACAATAGTCCCCCAAGTTGGAAACTACTTCAATATACACCCAAAGAAGACTCACAAAATGAACGTGCCCGTGGATAGGGGTGCCCTGGGGAGCTCGGCCGCATCGAGGCGCAGAGCCGCGTGGCTGTTCAAGGACAGGCTGAGATCTCCCTGGGGCCCGGGAAGCCAAGGCGCTGGGTGAATGGGAACTACAGAAGGAGCTGATGTTTTAAACACTTGTTGTGTGTCAAGTCCTGTGCCGAAGATTATTTCATTTAATTTTTAATACATTAGAAGTGGATTCTCTATTCAGATCCTCATTGTACAGTAGAGGGGTCTGAGACGTGGAGGGCTGAGGAATTTGTTTGTGGTCACATGACACTTGGAAGAGGCAGCGCTCCGAACCCCTGTGCTGGGACACGTTCTCGTCCTGCACCATCGAGGGGCACCAACACACGTCAGGAGTGGCTTTTTGCTTTCTTCTTTTTGAAAGATTGTTTAGTTGGGTTTTTATTTATTTATTTATTTATTTATTTATTTATTTATTTATATATTTATTTATTTTTTATCCTCACCCGAGGACATTTTTTCATCTTTTGTTCAGGTAGAGTGGGAGGGAGAGAGAGGAACAGAGAGAGAGAGAGAAACATCGACGTGAAAGGGACACATCAAGTGGCTGCCACCCGCACGACCCAACCAGGGCCGGGGACAAACTGCAACCGAGGTACATGCCCTTAGTGGGAACCGAACCCGGGCCTCTCAGGACCGCAGGCCGATGCTCTAGCCGCTGAGCCAAACCGGCCAGGGCTTTAGTTGGGTTTTTTAGAGAGAGAGAGGAAGGGAGAAGGAGAGAGAAACATCAATGAGAGATTGAAACATCGATTGGCTGCCTCCTGCACGGCCCCTACCAGGGATCGAGCCTGCGACCCTCAGCGCAGTGGGCGACGCCCAACTGACTGACCCACACCAGCAGGGATGCTTTCTTCTTCAGATGCTCTGTGGTATTTGAACATTTTTTTTAATGTCATTTATTACTTCTATAATCACAAGAACAAAAGTGCCTTTCCTGAATTAGAGGGAAGATAAAGGAAAAACCAAGGAAGACGAACCTGCCCT